GATTATTTTCGAGTTGATTATTTGATATGGGTGCATGAATAATTTTTGTTTCGATGTTCGGAAAATGGTACACCGATAGTTAATTCTTGCAAATTGTGTTTTAATTTTTGGTTCATGCATGTTTGGCTTTCACTTGTTGATTGTTGGTTATTGATGTCAAGTTTTATCGATTTTAATTTGACATTTTGAGCAATTTCATGAGTTAATGCGATGTTGTTCGAATTTTGAAAATGCACATGGAATATGGTTTAATTTGTGCTTAATGCGTACTTGACTTTGCTTTGATGAATGCTTGACATTGGTGTCAATTTTTATTGATTTTAATTTGACTTTTGAGCCTTTCATGAGATAAAAAGTTGCTGCCCGGATCTTTGTTTTATGGTTCTGATACTTGTTCGGAAGTTGTTTATTCATGATTTAATTTCAATTTTGAGTTGTAATGTGAATGCTTAACTTCAGTTATTGTTTCTTGTTATTACTAACTCATCTTGTGAACTTGTGCAAGCTTTCGAAGGTGTCTCGGTACATGAGACTTGTGACATACTTTTTTTTTGTCGAGATTTATATCTTATGCAGGATCATTTATTCGATATTCGGATATCGATTGTGATTTATTTTCAGATCGATGATGCTTTGACGCTTATTCCGAGCATTTGATTTCTGATTCTTTTCTTTAATTGGTGAAGCTTATGCGAATAACTTCAATTTTCTTTCTTTGATATGCTTTGCTACAAACTTTTTGTTCATTTGGTATTTTTTTTCCTATTCTGTTTATATTCTGGATTGTGTTTTGATTTCCTTGCCATGAGAAGTAGAAATAGAGATGCATGAGCTGGAGACCTACCCCTGTAGGCATTGTGAACTTGTTTGTTTAAATTCTTGTTTGTGAAAAAGACCTCAAAAAGGGGAAACTTCTTGTGTTTGCAAAAAACCTCAAAAAGGGGCAACTTCTTGTGTTTGCAAAAGACCTCAAAAAGGGGGAAATTTTTGTGTTTGTTAAAGTCCCCAAAGAAGGAAATTCTCGTATGTTGATACTTTGAATTGTTCGTGTCTTGACCTTGAGTCAAATAAAGGGGAACAATAGGGATCATAATCATCCCCCACACATTGTCATCTTTTCAGCGATATCTTAGCTCACGTTTGTTAATCTTTATGCTTCAAGTTGTTACTCGATTATGTGATTGAACTATTCTAATGGAAAAAGGGTTCTTAGACTCATCGGCCTTTGTTTTCATGTACAGATAACTCATGTTTGATGTCTTGAGTCGATGCTTGTTAGCATCTTTGTTTGTGTTTATTTTCTTGCACTTTTGCTTGTTTTTTTTAGGTTCAACTTTGCATGTTCGTTAGGTTTACTTGTTTCGTTTTCGATTCAAGGTAGACATTAGGTTTATAAACCATACATGCTAACTTAGGTAGAGGTTTCCCTTTTGTATCCAAACTTTAGGACCACCATTTCATGATAACATTAGGATTTTTAGTCCCCCTTAAACTTTTCCATTTCCTGTTTGCATCCTTAAAACAAAAACTTCTTTTCTTAAGAAAACTCAAAACACTTAATAATTGAAGATTTGAATTGTATGCAGTTGAGTCTTGTGGGGTAGAGCGAATTGGTCCAGACTATCATGCTCTTCTTTCACTTATGGACTTTATTATGGTTCAAATTTCAAACTATTTTTCAAATAAGTGGAGAAGTAGTGAGTGTCCCTCCCGTGGGATCCATTTGATATTATCCCACCAAAAACACCAACCAATGCAAACCTTTTTGTCTTCAGACTTTTTCTTTTAAAACCTTTTAAAAAGGGCATGTTTCGATAACATCTTTCATAAAAAACATGCAACCAACCATAAATTTCTAGGATAACTATGAGTACCCTGATCCCCTACTGCACGAAAGGTGGTACATAGGCACTAAAGGTTCGAAACTGCGGCAGGCACGACTAATAAAACTTTTTCTTTGTATATACACTTTGTATACATGCATTCTCCCTTAGCTTGATTAGATTTATATATGAACACACCCTTTGATTAGAAGAACAAGTGTGGATCCCGTGGAGAACCACGAACGTGAGGGGTGCTAATACCTTCCCCTTGCATAATCGACTCCCGTACGTGATATCTTGGTCGCAAGACCTTGATTTCTCCCTTCAGATTTTTCTTTAATGATTTTCCTTTAGCTCTTGTGGGATAAATAAATACTCGATGACGACTTCATTGATTTTCTCTCGATTATTTTCCCAGTTACTTCACCTAACCCAGAAGAATATTTTGTTGTGTATTGTAATGCATCTAAATTGGGTTTAGGCGGTGTGCTTATTCAAAATGACAAAGTGGTAGCTTGTGTATCGAGGAAATTGAGGATTCATGAATGGAGTTATCCTATTCATGATCTAGAACTGGCTGTAGTAGTTTTTGTGCTAAAGATTTGGAGGCATTACCTTTGTGACTCCAAGTTTGAAGTGTTTAGTGATCACAAAAGCTTGAAGTACGTGTTTGACCAGAAGAAACTGAATATGAGACAACCAAGGTGGCTAGAGCTGTTAAAGGATTATGACTTTGGCTTAAACTACCATCCTAGTAAAGCTAATGTTGTAGCGTATGCTTTAAGTTGGAAACCATTACATATGTATGTTATGATGGTTAGAGAACTATAATTGATTGAGCAGTTCAAAGATATAAGTTTAGTCTGTGAGTTAACTCCATAGAGTGTAATTTTGGGAATATTGAAGATTAACAATGACTTCCTGAATAATATTAAAGGAGCTCATAAATTGGATGTAAAGTTGGTAGACATGATAGTTGGGAGTAATCAGTCTGAGGATAATGATTTTAAAGTATATATGCAAGGTGTGTTGAGATTTTGCGACAAAATTTGTATTCCTGATGACTCTGAGTTGTAGAAGATGATTCTGGAAGAAAGTCATAGAATCAGTTTGAGTATCCATTTGGGAAGTACTAAAATGTATCAAGACTTGAAGAAGTTATTTTTGTGGCCTGGGATGAAACGCGATGTGGCGCAGTTTGTGTATGCGTGTTTGACTTGTCAGAAGTCGAAAGTCGAACATCAGAAACCTGCAGGATTAATGCAATAGTTGAATGTTCCAAAATGGAAATGGGATAGTATATCAATGGATTTTGTGACATGGTTGTCGAGTACTCCAAGAGGGGATGATACAATTTGGGTGATCGTTGATAGGCTGAAAAAATCGGCTCATTTCATTCCGATTAATATCAGTTTCCTAGTACCGAAGTTGGCGGAGATTTATATTTGCATGATTGTGAAGCTTCATTGGGTTCTGTCGAGTATTGCTTCTGATAGGTATATGAGGTTTACTTCTGGATTTTGGAAGAGTTTGTAGGATGTGTTGGGCTCTAAGCTGAGATTGAGTTTCGCGTATCACCCACACACAAATGGTCAGACGGAGAGGATATTCAGTCATTGGAGGATTTGTTGAGAGCTTGTGTTCTAGAGCAGGGAGGTACATGGGATAGTTATCTTCCACTGATAGAGTTCACCTATAACAATCGTTTTCATTCTAGTATTGGGATGTCATCTTTTGAGGCATTGTATGGTCGGAGGTGTAGAACACCTTTGTGTTGGTATGAATCTGGTGAAAGTGTAGTGCTTAGAACAGAGATTGTTCGGCTTACTACAAAAAAGTGAAGTTAATTGTGGATAAGATGAAGACTTCGCAGAGTATACAAAAGAGTTATCATGATAAGATAAGGAAGGATCTTGAGTTTCAAGATGGAGACTATTTATTTTTGGGGGTCACTCCAGTGACCGGTGTGGGCCGCACACTAAAGTCGAGAAAGCTTACTCCTCGTTTTATCGATCTGTATCAGATTTTTGACAATCTTACCCCTAATATGGCGTGGAAATTGGAAAGCTAGATGTGAGAGTCGTATCCGGAATTGTTTGCATCAAGTAATTTTTTAGGACGAAAATATTCTAAGTGGAGGAGAGTTGTAACACCCTGAATATTAAAATTTATTATTTTATTAGTTGTTTGTGATTCATATGGTGCAATGGATGGTTTGATGATGTTATGTGTGGAGTAGTGTCAGATTAAAGTAATGACATAATTGTTTTAATTTAAATAATTTAGTTGGAATTATTTGGATTTAAGAATAATTGTTTAGAATTTATTTAATATTTAAATGGAATAAAATGTGTAAAATATGGAGGGCAATGTGGTAATTGTCACAAGGTTTAGTGAGGGTAAGGAATGAATGTCATATTAGGAGTATAAGAGCTAAACTAGTAAAAAGGAATAATAGAAAGTGAAATTGTATAATTTAGAACAATCGTACTATGAGAGGAGTATAAGAACGAAGGTGAGAAAGAGTTAGGACAAGAGAAAGCCATTGTTGAAGTTTGGGAACCATCAATCTAAGGTAATGGTGGGACACCAGCTTTTTAAAGAATTGTATAATGATGGACAGATTAAGGAATTTGATTGCCATAGTTGTTGGGTGCTTTGTTTCATAAAATTACTTTTTTTTGTGCTTGAATTCATGTGATAGAATATTGACATATTTGTGGTTTAATTGGTGAAACTATAAATATTTTTCAGATTGAAAAATTGACAAAACATACAATATTTTTGTTTCAAGAATCTATAAAATAAGATTTTGTAATACAGGTACATGAGAGTGCTACAAAAAATTTATCTCCTCCATTTTTACCTTAAACCAAAGTAATAGCAATTAACTATTACCTCAAGTTAATATTGGACACTCCATCCATCTATCTATTAGAGAACAAAGATAATATTGAATCTTGTTCTAAAATGAAAAACACATTTTAATCCAAATATACTAATTTAAATTCTAATGCATTTAACAATCACCGATAGTTTGAAACCAGAGATTTACATACTATATCATTTTGACTTGCTTATAATAATAATGTTTAAGAAATCTCTTTTATAAACTCTATATTCAAAACATACTCAAGGCATGCATTTTATTTATTATTATTTTTAAGGGATAATAACTCATTTTTCATTACAACAACAAAGACGATTAGGAGGAATCATTCCATAACATTTACCACCTTTCTTATAGCCTCCTTTAAGACAGTCTTGATTGCATTGCTCATTTGATGGGCAATTACCTTCGTGGCATTTTAATCCGAACATATTATTCTCACCACTTGATACTCCTACAATCAAAAGAAAATTTATTAAAACTTTATTTTAGTTAGGTTGTTTTTGTAAATATATGATTATACATCTTGAGAGATACAACAAATTTCTATTCATTACCTGACAGCAAAATCATTGCAGCAAACAAAATACAGCAGAGATATGATCCATTGAAGTTAACAAGTGCCATTGTCCAAAATTTTATCTAATATTTTATGTCTTGTGAAATTTAGGACTCACACGATCATTATATATATTATTGAAATGAAATTATAAATGAGATTAATTAATACTTTTTGATATTTTAAATATACAATATTTTTGAAGATCATCATAGATTAATTAAATATATTTTGACCACATAAATGTAGATATAAAACAATCACTTTTTAATACGAATATAAAAAATAAAAAAACAATTTTTTTATGGATATAAAAAAAGTCACTTTCTATATTATTTAGAATTATAATATTATTTATGAATAATCTGTTAAAAATAATTTTAAAGATTCTAAAAAATATTTTAAAACTAAATGAAAATCTGATTTTTTTTATGCTTTTTTTTATTGCTAAAATGTGAGATTTTCAATTGAGCCAAAAGAAACAAATTTACAAATACAATTCGAGAAAGATAGAAAAAACATTAACTTTAATTTTCTAATATACAAGTGATTTTTTTTATCAAACAATGGGTCCGTTGGTTTTGACATTTTTAAAAATAATTTTTATAATATTATATGATTTTGTGTAAAAAAAATTAAATTTTTTTCCATAAAAGTTTCAAATAGAAATTTAATTTGACTAGTTATTCTTAAATTTATTTTAGATATTTTATTATTTAATAAAAAAAATTATAAATATAAAATTTCAAAAAAATCACTTAATTTTAATACTATTTTAATTTTAATACTATTTTAAATAACTTTTTATAAAAATCATTTTTAAAATACAACTTTGAAATGCATAGTATCTAACTCTAAAAATTGTCACACAGAAAGTGTTAGTATGAATATTCAACAAGTTATTAAATTAGGGGTATTATTGATCAGAATGGCTAAATGGTAAATGGAAGTATGTGCCAAGGCCAAAATGGGGAAATTAGCTAGGCTGGTGTATAAGGAACTTATGCCTTTTCTACACAGTTTATCTCATATTTTTGTCCTACAAAAATCAGAATTGAGATTAAGCCTTGGGGGATAGAGAGAAGGAAAGTGAATGGAAAAGGGGAAAGAAAGAAAGTGGATTCATGCTTCATCATCAACTTGCATGTGTAAAGCTTTAGTGATTTTGTATGAAGAACAAGGATTAAGTGTATGAATTCTAACGTCCGTTTATTTATTTAATTAAATTATTTTTAGATTATTTGTTGAAATTGTGAGATGTTAGAGTTTTTGATATAATTGTTAGATTATTATTAATTAATTAATTAGTTGATTACTAATAATAGTAATGTTGGAATTAATGGAATAATAATGTTGAGCTATTTTATTGGTTGAAAGTAGTAAAGTGGTGGTGTGAAAGTTAAGCCCAATAGAATTGGTGATATAAGGTTAAGCTGACACAAGGATTTGATTTAGTTGGTGATTAAGGATTTATGCGTTGACCGGAAGAGCTGTGCGGAGAGAGAGCAAAATAAGGATTACGGCCTGAACTTTGGTTGAGCGAACTTCAATCCAGGTAAGGATGGGGTTCTGACCTTATAATGAGATTTATGATGTGTATTATGTGAGAATTGGTCGTTTGTATGACTGTGTGCGTTGATATATCTGGATTTATTATCGAAGTTGCCTGTTTCTCTATGTTGTGGTCGTTTAGGGAGTCACCGTACGACGGTTTAAGGAACATGTTTTAGGAAGTTGCCCGATTGTTATGTTGTGGGCAGTTTGAGTGGTCTGTATCATTGCCCGGTAGAATCGATGATTAAGTTAGTGCAGTTGATCACTGGGTGGTGTGGTCGTTATGATGCTGTGGTGTTCCGAGCAGTTGGCAGGAAATTAGTAAATTATTATTGTGGTCGTTTTAGGAAGGTTTCTGTGTGACTGTCTTGTATAATTAATAAATCTGTTGATATGAAATATAGTTTCTCGTTGCTGTGATATTCCGAGCAGTTGATCTAAAATTATGGATTGTAGTGGTGTGGTCGTTAAGATGTTGTATTGTTACATGATGTTGGCCAGAATTAGTAGTCGGGGAGGATGCTGATGGTGTTAGGTGCCGAGTGGTATTTAGGCTCTGAGGTGTGTCGGAGAATATATGTGTTGGATGTCGAGCGAAATTAGGCTGCGAGGCGTGCCAAGAAGCACGATACTGTTGTCGAGCGGAACGAAGTTGCATGTTGTGTCTAGGAACATAAGTTAGTTGTTATTCCTCTTTGTTTTTGTGTGTGTTGAGGAGTATGAGTTAGTTATTATTCTTTCTTGGTTGTTGTGCATGTCGAGGGGTACGTAGTTCCCAAGCCCTATTGCCCGTGTATGTTGATTCGGTCGTTACAGTGTGTTGTGTAGTTTGTGCTTAATTGAGAATTTATAGGTTGATGATTTATGTTGGGATGCCTCTAATTTTGGCAGATATTAAGTTGTAGGCTTATGGCCAACGTTGATTTATGTTGAATTTATGTTGAATTGTTGTTGATGTTGTAGGCTTATGGTCAACGTTGATTTATGTTGAGTTGTTGTTTGTTGTTGATTTTTTCTACATTCATGTTGTGTCGCATACATCGCATATCAAGTTGGAGCTGATGCTCGTTAAGTTGGCCTAGATTGGAAAAATATTAAGTTGAAGGCTTATGCCTTGTTGATGCCTCTATTTATTGGCAGATTTTTAAGTTGGGAGTTCTGATTCATTGGTGCCATACGCATTTGTATAAAGACAAGTTGCATTATATGTTGCATTTTGTGTCGTTGGGTGGTTGATTTGATTATGCTTATGTTGTCATTAATTGTGAAGCGGTGATTTTTGCATGGACTGACTCTAATATAATGTTTGTCATACATCTGATTATATTGTTCGATATCTCACCCCTTCTGTTTGAATGTTACCCATATGTTGGTAACGTGTAGGTAATCCAGAGTGAAGGCGGTTTACCTTCTGTAGTTCGAGTCCGTGTTATTGCTCCGATACGTAACACTCGGGAGGATGAATGCTTGCTATTTTATTGTTGTTATTATTTAGTTGTTGCGCTTTAAGCTGTTGTTCATTAAATAGTTGTTATTTGGAGTTATTTTAGTTGGATAAAGATGTTATATTCTTTAAGTTGAATATTTGATTCCACTGCGTGGTTATGAAAGTTGTTGGTTTTAAAAGATGAATTTATGTTCTTGTTGGTTCATTCAGATTTAATGTGTTATATATCATTGGTGAATACCGTTGTACTAAGTTGAATTTGTAGCATCCTGATTCGGTTGTCGAATTTTTGTAACTCTGATTTTATATAATTGTCGGGTAGAATTGGAGTGTTACATGAATTATCAACATAAACATCTTCTTCATCTCCCAATCATCCAACTTAGAATCTTCTCTTCAAGGTGAGTCCTTAGTTAGGACTTTGGGGATTAGAAGTTTAGGATTTTCATGTTCTTGGGGGGTTTATGATAATTTTCTTGAAAACACGTTAGTGGTGAGATTATTGAACTTGCATGTGCTGATTGTTATGTGTTTTGGTTCCCCAAGTACTTTAGTATATGTTTAGGGTTGATTGGTGATTGATTGGTATATATTTTAAAATCATTTTTGAAAATACAGAGAAAATATATATATATTTTTAAAGCTAACACAAACATGCCCAATAAATGACTTAAAACTCAAGTTTTATTCCTCTTAATATCCCTTCAAATTTTCTCTTCTTTGTTCTTCTTCAACGAAAGATGAAGTGGTTTTAGAATAATTATTCTTTATTCACGCATCATCGTCACTTTTCTCCTTCCTTTTTCTCTCATTCCATCAATCTCAATTTATATTTTTAGAAAAGTACTTTTTGTAACACCCTAAATTTCCCGATGATTAATAACATAAAAATCAGAGTAATTTTTTTTCTTCAATAACATTTAGGATGCTACATCATCTCAAGACAAACACAATTTTCTCAAAGTAATAAAAGGGATACATAACACCTTCTGGATAAACAACAAATGCCACAGTCTTAAAAATCAACTCTATTAAGAAGCGAAAAATAATCCAGGTTCGTCATCCAAAACAACTTCAATCCAACATGAATCATAAATCAATTATTCAGGAGTTTAAAACACTCCACAACGAATTTCCAAAACAATGCAAAATAAAATAAGTGTTTATCCCCCAACCCGGTGTTACGTATCAGAGCATAACACCGACTCTAAAACAAGACTGAAGAGCAACCTCTTCGAACTCTGCGGAAACAAACTACTCCTGACTATCTGCATGTTACCCACGTAGAGGCAGCATTCAAACAGAAGAGGTGGGATATCTCAACAATATAAAGAAAAGTATAATAATAAGTATACAGAAATATGTCATGCATAGTTATTATATCCACATCTCGCACCTTCATGTCATAAACAAAATTTACGACATAAACAACAACACAATATCATTATACTAACAACAAGGCATGCAATGAGACACAACAATAACTTTATGCACGTGGTACCAATATCGCTCTCGAATCTATGCCATATAGGACCGAAGCCACCATCATTGTGAACAATTTGGTTCACTCCTCTTCTGATCCACTCCATCTAGGATTAGAGCCAACAACAACAACATGAATATTTATATTTACCTCGCTCACTATCCACACCATCTAGGATTTACGCCAATAACAACGACAGGACTAAAATCCACAACCTAAGATGCATGTGAAACGACCACGCAACACAACTCCACATCGATATCACTATTCATCAATATAACTCACCTTTACCATCCACCCGTTGTGCCTTACTTGCAACAGTACACCATATTACAAACAACAAATCTGTATAATCGCGTTAACATATAAAATGAGAATTCACACAAAAAGGTATAACCTCATAAAATAATTATCTATTGTCTTTGAAATTATTTTTATAGAAATTTTTTTTCTCAACTCCCTGTAGGTTCAAACAGCGCGTCAAATAGACACCCGAGTCAAAAGATATGAATTTTCCAAGTTTTAAAAACTTTCTGTCAGCTTCAGTGGTAATCAGTTACTACATATGGGGTAACCAATTACAC